ATATATATATATATATATATATATATATATATATATGACTAAAGTTTTAGTAATAATATATATAATTCTTGCAAAACTTTTCAGCTTTACTACTTCAAAGACAAATAATTAGTCAGAACTTTCTTACTTTTAAAGAATTTTACAAAGTTTTTTTTTAGAAGAAATTATTATGATTACTTTTCTGGTTTCTATAGCTTTGCTTCTTATTGAACCCTTCTAACCCAAATATATCGCGCTCTTTCTAATCTTTTTTGATTGCAATTATTGTTTTGCTGTTACTTTCGCAACGGTGCATTAATTTGAGACTTGGAGGCATATTGAGAAGACTGGCAGCGACGGCCGGCATGAAAGATTTTTATTCTTCCGCGACAGTCATCATATTTTTTAATTGTATAACACTTCCGTTTTCTTGCAATTATGTGCGGACATTTGTTAACAGTAGGAGACATTCCAAACACAGTGTTCAGAGAAGTCCGTATTCAGTTTTTTACCTTTCATAAATCTGGTTTCTAGCCATTTTTGAAAGAGGTTGTTGGTGTTAGCCAGCTGTACAAGGCAAACTTCTTTACAGAGTAAGATAAAGATAATGGACGTTAAGTTTTTTTGTTTTTCACAAGCATTTTTGCTCAAGCTACGCGTAATTTAAGCAGTTCTTTAAAATTTTACAGTTGTTCAAATATTGTTATTCAAAGTACTTCATGGGCATTTTTGTTGTAACCATATCACAGAATTGTTCACGACTATATGCTTGCCTCGTTTTTTTTTTTTCCGGGGCAAAAGTGATTCATATTCATGGCAGTTTTAGATGCGGCAAACGGAAGTCGAATTTAGCAGCCTTTTTGAGACCATGGTTACATCATTTGTTGGGCCAGCATCATTCCCCAGTGACAGTTTCCATTAGATTGTCACTCTCGTCTGCGCCTAACTGAGCAGCTGGCTTTATCAGTCGAAGTTCTGTGGGGTGCTGTCTCACTGGTAATGGTTTCCGTCTGTTCATTTTACCCCTTAGTTCCGGATTTTGAATTCATTCTATGACTCGGTGCCCTTAAATTTTTCCCTTTTTTTTTTTGAATTTTTTTTTGGAATACTAGTTAGCTAAATAATTTCGATTTTTTTTCATTTTTGAGTGACTCTTTTTCTTCTTTTTAGGGCTGGTTTTCTGTTAATTTTTGCTTTTTTTTAATTCTTTTGATCTCAAAATGCTGATGTAAGAATATGTGACAGGAATTCACTTCTAGAACTTTTGAAAGTTTCAGACATTTCTACGTTTGTAGAACCTTCTCCTGTTACAACCCTTCTTGTTTTTAAATACTTATTAAATTTTTCTATCAAACCAACTGTTTCTGTTGGGATGATTAAATTTCTTTGTGTAGTTTCAAATTTGCTGAGGGCTTCAGACCTTCGTGTCTGGTTTTGTCTGTATAAGCAGTTTTTTCTGTTGCTGTAATTGAAATTCTTGGTAATGGATTTAATAGGATTCTGAAAGATACTGCAAGACTCTTCAAAAAGCTCATACTTGGAAGAATTCTTATTTAATTTAGCACAGTTATGCAAAAATTTTCCTTGAAACTTTAGCCGGATCTGTCACCTTAAGCAGCGTTTATGTGACAGTACTTTAGCAAAAATTTTACAGGAAGGCAAGTTTAATTCATTAACGTTTTGTTAACATAATGATCTCATTATTGTGATACAGAAATATGGTTTGCGTATTATTTTTATTTTTACTTTCCAGACGATCCTTTTTTCTGTTTTTTTCTTTTGTTTGTAGTCGAAATAAAGCTTCATTTTCTGCTCATGCATGGTTTCCTCAGTAAACGGATTTAGACTAATATTTCTTCCTTAGATCTGGTTTACGCGTTAAAAGAGTGGAATTGATGATATCTTCCTACACATTTAAAAAGTTAAACACCTTTCCAATATCATACAGACTTGGGGTGACAAATAAGTCTAGTAAACTCCACTGGCAGTTCTATAAGGACACAGATGTCATCGGTTAGTTGAGTGTTGAACAACTTGATGTTTAATTACACAGTCAACGTTCTCAGGCCTTCTGTCAGAACAAACTGCTTCTACCGCTTCTTAAAACATTCCAGAACAACAAATACAGGGTTCGAAGAGATTTTAAGTCAGTGAGCTTTAACGAGTTCGAGGCGCAGTGATTTGTTATTGTAGTTTAAAACCTTAGAACGTACAATACTTAGCAACCTGATGGCACTGCAAGGTTTTTGTTGTGGAGAGTTGTAGGTGGTGCGATGGCTTGACAGGTCATGACTTGTAGGACGGTCGAGTATGTCAGCTGTGCTGCAGGTACTTTCGCGCACTGAGTGGACGATTTCGTTTACAGACTGTATTTGACGTAATTTTTGTAATTTTGCCTGTTAACCTCATCTGTTCGAGTCAGCACATTTTTAAACGCAGGACGACGCAGGATCTGCATATGTGGCAGCATTTATGATACTAAAATGTCAACCGGATGCGCAAAAAATTACTGCGATGCTGCCACTTATTCCCACTTACTCCTCTCCGAGCGATTGGCGCACGCCAAAAAAAGCTGTGTGGGACGACTTCCATGTTTGTCTCATCTGTCAAATGCAGAAATTCGTTTCAAAGAAGTGGAAAATGATCGACCCAAAGCTTAAGTATCCCAACCAGCAAAGAAGAACAGGGTCCACTGTATGCAATCAAAGTTAATGAACTCAGTTCATTCACCAAACTTTATTACCACACACGAATCAAAATTTTTACTCGTATGAGCAAAGAATATAAAAAAATTTCAGAAAATTGGAGGAAAAAGTCGCAGCAGAACTAAACATTGATGGCCAGCTCATTGTGGCGGGG